ATTAACTAAACGACAATTCATTGAGTTTCTACTTAAATGTTTTAAAAATAATGAGAAATCTTATATAGTGATTCGATCAAAGACTCGAACATATACTTAATTGTTACATGAATGAACTTTTGTGGCGTATACCACTTTTTTTTATAATGCAATGCGTTTATTAGAAACTTGAAAGGCCCAAAATATGAGTAAAATCACCGTTTTTTTTTATTGAAATTTCACAATTATTTTATGAGCATATTCTTGTCTGTGACAGTCATTATGCTCCAAGGCTAATAGAGGTATTATAACTTCAAGGTCATTTTCAGCGTTACACATGTTAGGCAATACAGCAAAATTACATTATATTAAATAAAATCAACTATCACTTATAAATAACTGAAGATCATCCAACCATAATCATTTTACAATGTATTTCACAGACTAGGTATACAATTATTTTCTTGTCACTGTGATGTATTTAGTTCAATAAAAAGGCGGAAATTAACGATTTCAGCCGAACTAAACTTTGAATGAATACTGCTCTACTTTTAATTTAAACATTGCCACAAGAAATAGCATAAATGATTGTACTTTCATTTAAATGTGCTTTGAAAAACTTCAAATTACATGTTGTTCACTTAAAAATGCTAATTCTTTTGATACCTCAACAAACAAACGTCGACAATATTCCGTCCTTTCTCCCCCTCTTTCTATAAAAATATTAATCCCCATATTTCAACCTACATTTTATTTATTATTCTCACATTTTTATTTCTTACACTTTCACAAAACAGACTTGCGAAGACAAGGACTATCATACCATTGTTCTGATTTTTCAATTAATTCGTAAACATTTCGTCACGTGAAGCCATACAAACCTGTATATAATTCAAAATATCCCAAAAACTTAGAAATTACGTTCGAAGATAAACGATAAGACATTAGAAAACTTTATGGTTGTGAACTGTTTACAAGCTATTTAAAATGGAGAAACAATTTTTTAGATTGCATTCAAAAGAAGAGGTTTTAAAGGGAATTTAATTATACGTAGTTGAGATCATGAGTCAATTGAAGCTAGACCACCATGGAAAACCTGGAAGCACTGAACGGCCGTTTCGATCTATTGTGGGACTCCTCACCAGCGCGCATCCACGGTTCTGCCTCACGAGATTCGAGCCCAAGAATTTAATTATCCTGAAAACAAATTAATAATGATTACAAAAATAAATTTTATTTCATATGGCTTGAAATGGCTGAAGTTTTGATGACCATATTCTTGACTACGTTTCATGAAGAAACCAATAATAGTTAATCCGCCCTTTTTGATTCCTTCTACAATTTTGTTGAATATCGGTAGACTAACACAACTAACTATTCATCGTTTATCTGACTTTTTGTGTAAGTGTGAGGTCACCAACTTTCAAATGGTATGTGATTTTTGTTTTTATTCAACTTACTAATCAGTAATCTTTAGTAGCTTGCAATTTTCATTTTCAAAACACAAATACAATGGACCTTTGTGTATGGAATGCTCCCTAAAAACCAACATATGGAATGATTGATTTTAAGCGTTTTTAATCCTCCGCTTGTAATATTACTAAGTAAATCACCTTTATTTTTCATAAAGTTTTCCACGTTTAACTGTTAAAGTGAATCATGCAAATGAGAGAAAGTTACTTTGTTCCAGAATAATAATGACATTTCACTGGCCTGACATTTTGACTTACAATAATTAATTATCATAGATGCTATTAAATATATTCCAAAAGTTACAGTTGGTTTTCTACTCATTTCCTTTACGAACGACGAATGAGAGCATCTTTACGTTCCATCTATTCTCGCTTTCAATAATCTACCGTATTCAACTAGGTAACAAGTATATACTAGTGCTGATGATGTTGTTTAGAAGAGCAATGAAAGCTCCATGACCAAACCATACAGTTCAGAGAACAAAACTCCACCTGAGCTACAAATCTTATCCACCATCTCAACATATATCTTGATGATATTTAGATATGTATTAGACATCTAGACTTTAAATAAATAACTTGAATAAATATAACGATTAGTATTGTATAGTGAGTTTGTTTAACTGTTCAACTGATTTCTAGCCTTACGACGATTTATGAAGAGTGAACATGCTTTAGATAACATGTTAATAATTTATGGCTCTGGTAGAGTAATATAAACTCTTCGTTTCTTAAATGCACCTACAATTAACCAAAGAAAAACAAATTAGAATTTTCAAGTACTTATTTCCATTTTTTACTCGGCTGATGTCGATTCCATGAAATTCAACAACAACTCGATATTGTAATAAGAACGAATTATAGACAAAATATGCTGTAATTTAAGAAATAAATCTCAATGATTTGGCCACCATAATGAGGTTCCTGAATTATTAATAACTATAGATTTATAGAAGACATTAATGCATAGTGACATGCAAATTCGTTAGATAGATATCCGATGGATATAAGCTACAATAATTACAATTTATTTGATGGGCACAAAGATGTACCATTCGAAAAACTAGCTGGTAAATATCTTTCTCAGAGAAAGATTGTTTTTGTTCATATCGTTTGGGTTCACTTTCACTTTCTGCGTCAAAACACCTAAGTCAGTCTTCATTATATAATCGTCAGTATCAACTTAGATAGATCTTCGCTCACTAATGCCTTAATGTCCTGGGAGATGTGATATGTTCATTCTAACACTATTAGATAATTTTCTTCTAAAAACATGTAATGAGACTATAATTTGTGGACAACTTTCAAGCGGTGCTAAAGTGACCCTGAGAAAAGTCATCTAATTGGTGGGTCAAAAGAGCGTTATAGATCAGTGTGAGGAATTAGGGTTAAGAGACAGAAGTTAGACTCCGAAATTAGAGTAAAGATTGTCATTACGAACTGACATCAACCATAGTGTCAAAATCCTATTTAACCGTATGAATGGATGAACTTTTTACCAAAATCCAGGGCGTGCTATCTTTACGTTCATTGTTTTATTCATAGATTATAATCTCATCAAATATACTTTACACTTATTGGCATATGTGTATACTCTGCGTATTGCCTCGATATAGCCTTAATTCACAAGCATTATAAGCAAAGATGGAGGCAATACGCACAGTATGCACATATGCCAACAAGAGGCTGATCAATCGCAGTCCTAAACATCAATCGGAAGATTCAAGCAAACAATACTAAGTGAATTTAAACGTCACCACATTGCACCAGCAAGTGGCTATCAGGACTCAGTAGGTGAGTGGATAACGCGATGGCGTTTGAAGTGAAAGTTACTGGGTTCGAGTTCGAGAGTGAACATGAACTCTGAGATGCAGGTACATCCAGCTGACCAGTCCCAAATAGGACTATGGCGTTCGCATCCTGGATTCCACTGCTAGCCACTATCCATCTTTGCTTATGAATAACCAACTGTTTGCACTTATAGCAAAATGATGATCACCATTCTAGCAAATCTTATCATGAGACTGATTTTTTTCTATGTCTTGTTGTTTCTAAGTAAACTTTGATAAATTTTTCCGAAAAAATTACTGGTCAGTTAAATATGTCTGCAGTCTTTAGTGATTTGATATATTCTGTACGATTCAAGCAAATATCATAGCTAGAGATATTGCTAATAAACAATCCGATTGCATAATAAGAGGGTAATATTAATTGTTAAGAACATTAAATTCTATATTCATAAATCTATTTGAATACGTTATTTTTTGTTATTAATCGAAAAAGTTTGCATTTGTATACAACTTATTGAAGTTATATATGTAACACAACAAAAGTCTGTTAATTTCAACAAAATGATTTACCAGTAATTTAACAATTCAAGCGATTCTACTCAATACAATCAAGCATGATTAATAATTAAGGATTGAATCGCTACTAAATAGATCAATTTGTTAACAGTACATTATTGAAAATTATCAAATCAATCGTAAAAATAGATCTATTCATTTCAAACATATATATATATATATATATATATATAATCAGAAAGGGGTTATGTGGAGATTGTAGTAAATTAATAGTTGAGTTCATCAGCCGATTTAAGTCAGACTTCCATGGAAAAACTGGAAGCACTGGAGGGTCATTTCGTTTCAGTATGGAACTCCATAACAGTGTTCATCCACGATCGCGCACGCGGGACTCGAACCCACGATTTATCGGTCTCGCACGAGAACACCTAACCTCTAGATCATTAAACCGTCATCCGATGATGTCTAACCTCAATCAATTCACGATATTGCACGACAATCCACTATTGTCTCCAATGAGTAACTGCCTCACAACAGACACAGTTAGACTCCACTGGTCAAGGCTTCTCACTAGAACTCCAAGAAATACATTTTGAAGCCAGTCACTAGTGAGAACATAGTGATTATTATCAGAATGGAGGGGTTGTAGAGATTGTGGATTGGTTGAAGTTAGAAATTCACATCATCGGATGATGGCTCAATGGTCTAGAGATTAAGCGTTCTCGTACGAAACCGAATGTCCTGGGTTCGATTCCCGCGTGCGGGATCATAGATGCGCACTGTTGAGGAGTTCCGTGCTGAAATGAAATGATCGTCCTGTGCTTCCAGATTTTCCATAGTGGTCTAGTTTAAACCGGCCCATGAATTCAACTATTATATACTTATTAAATTATTGTCTTTAATCCAAACCAAGTAAAAAGTAAATAATCAGTAAGTCAGTCAATCACAACGTGGAACTTCGTACATACGTAAATCAGTTGGAGTTGCCACACCACATTGCTCATTTAGAACGATAGAATGTTTCAAATTCAAAATTATAATTTCAAAATTCTTATAATAAACCAATAAATATGAACCTTTTTTATTATGCTTCTTAGGGTGACAAAATTAATTTCGAATAAACATGATAAATCAATATGAAAAATGAACTAATCATTAACCTGTTAAAATACATGTAAATCTATGTATGAAGAAGAACTAATCAACGAAGAAAAAAAAGAGAAAACATTTCAAAGGAATCAATTTAGAAAAATGTTTGTAAATCAATGGAATCTAGAAAACTCGAATAAATTTCTGGTGAATGTGATATATCATATGTGCATAATTCATGATTACAATTGTTTATATCATTACTAGTTGTAGGTTGACATACATTAAAATCTGTATAAAACTCTTTCTGATCAGGATAATTAGTTATATTATGTTGATTGTTCATATTATGAAATGTATTTGGTAATTGAGTTTTGTAAGGATCATAAATTGTATCAGTTGACTGAAGATATGCTGAATTGTTATCTGTCATTAAATTTTGAACTGATGTACATATATTTGATCTAAGTTTGTTACCCATTGGCATCATATTCATTTGAGATGTTATTATAAATGGTTCTGGTTTATGGTTCATCTCATTGACAAACATATTTCTATTTTGTGTTATTTCATATGATTTCATTGTTGGAGCAATAATAGGGATACGTGGTTTATTAAATGGTTGAGTGACAACTTTTGAAACTCTTGTTAACCTTGATGCTTGAAAACAATTTGAACGGGTAGGACATAAAACTAATTCAAGAGGTAATTCAGAGGTAGTTTTTACTTTATGCTGTAATACAACTTTATTTGTTGGTTGTTTACGTTTTCGTCTAGGACAATATTTGTAATTTGGATAACGTCTCATATGACAATCACGTAATCGGTTAGCTTCTTCAATAAATGGAATTTTATCAGTATTTGTTAAAGATTTCCACATATTACCTAATTGTTTACTGATTTCAGAGTTATGAAGTTTAGGATTCTCTTCAGCCATTTTACGTCTTTGTAAACGTGACCATACCATAAATGCATTCATTGGTCGCTTAATTCTTTCACTGTTCATATTGTTATTGGAAACAGTTACATGATTATTAGCCAAATTTGATTGCATTGTAATGACTGAAGATGATGATGATGATGGTGATGACGATGATAAAATCGATGTTGACAATGTCAAGGGAAGAAACGGTGATTCATTTATTGCCTGAAAAATAATTTCGGAAGTAATTTCAAGTATCAAAGCTCAGTGTTGAAAATCATTACATATCTAATAGAAAGTTTTAAGAGGAAATCATGTTTGATAAACACTTGGGAACATTCTAGATATATTTTAAAGTAGGTAATTTCCTAATTATATATTAAATTTATCCAGGTTTTTGGCGAAACGATTTAAGAAGGGGTTTCTTGTGGAGACTTAGTATTTTCATAGTTGAAAGCATCAGTAAGTTGAAGCTAGACCACCATAGAAAACCTGGAAGTACTGGACGGCCGTTTCGTCCTACTGTAGGACTCCTCAACAGTGCGTATCCACGACCTCGCATAGCGAGATTCGAACCCACAACCTACCAGTCTCGCGCCAAAGCACTGAGCCGGCATCCGATGGTGTTTATGTCTAACTTCAACCAATCCACGAAGTTGAGCGACCGTTCACCAGTTATCTTCAGTGAGTTCTTATCTCACAACAGACGTGGTTTGAACTCCACTGGGCATTGCTTCTCACTAGAACTCCAGGAATTACCTCTTGAAGCCAGTCACTAAGCTTTCAACTATGAAACGTTTTTAACTTTCTAGGATCAGCTTATAAAGAACTGCAATAAAGATACTATTGAATAATTTCATATTCTTATTGAACAGCCCATCACAATAAGCTATCAATGTAGCATCAAATTGATAAATGGAAAATAGGTAATCACTAATGAATAGCTTCTAAATGGATTTCCTAAATTTCTGTTCCGAAGTATTAATCTATGGAAATAATCCTGTATAGTATAAAGCAATATTTCGATGATGAAGATTTTACTTAACTAAAATTATCAGAATGGGGATTTGCGGAAATTATAATGATTTTAATAGTTGAATTCATGAGTCAATCTAGGCTAGACCACTATTGAAAACCTGGACGCACTGGAAGAGTCCCATACTAGGACGAGGCGGCCGTCCAGTCCTTCCAGGTTTTTAATGACGGTCTAGTTTGGATCGACTCATGAACCCAACAATTAAAATAAAACTATTTGTAAGTTAAGTATTTGTTGGATTTGAACTGATTCTTGATAATAATGAAAAGTTTCAATAAGTTGCAAACTGGATTAAGAAAAACTGTTCAAGATAACTAAGTTTTTCATATTTCCACAGCTGATGCTAATTTGTCTTCAGTTTTTACAGAAAATTTGCTTAACAGAGAGTGCTGATCAAGTATTCAATGTAACTATACCTAGTAGCATATCAGAATTTCTGTATTAGAAACTTCAGAATGCACAGTTAGAAGCTACCGTAAATTCAAATTTAACAGCAATATATGAAGGTATTATCTTGAATAGTAATGCTTTGCTCAATTTACTGTTTTATCATCACAGTCAAATCATATTCTGTTTGAATACTATGGCAGCTGAATTCACTAATTGTTAGCCTCATTGCACTGAAATCTATGATTGTTCGAGTGACATCACACCATAAATCACAGTGAAGTAAATATTTTCTGTTTGCTAAAATGAAGCTTATGCCAAATTACCGTAGACTACAACAAGGAAATTAATTTTGTACACTGTGAAAACAAACATGTTAGTTTAAACGACAAATAATTTCAAGTCTATTCGATTTCGGAAAACATCATTAGTTCATAGTAATCCGATTCGTAACATGGACAATTAAAAACCAATAACAAACAATAGTTTTCACAGTGCTATTCAATTTTTGGTGAAAATCGTCTTAGATTTATGGTGAACATAAAATGTAATTAAAGTTCATTTCAGTTATTCAATAACGATCTTTTTTTGACGAACTTGATTATTTATTCACATCAAAATGTTAACTGTTATATGACTTCATTTTATATCGCATCGATGTTCAGGGGGCTTTGCTCATAAGTTATGAATGTAACTGACTACCAATCGGTTAGTTACTACATAGATAACTGAAAAAACATATTAACTCTTTACATAACAGTGATAAAACAGATCACATGTTGTTGCTAAACCATTGACTATCTTTCTCAGGTACATTTTACATGGGTTAGTAAAATTCAGTATTTATGTAACCATTGAACGAAACCTGACTGATGATAGTTAAAAAGTTATTTCCCTATAATTTGTTTCCTTTGTAGCGCCAAGACGATAGTTTTGATCATAGTCAACAGGAAAACGAAAGTAGATTTCATATTGCAGATGATATAAATATTAGAAAAGCCATCAATAAAATGTATTCTCTCTGAGTTCCTTCTTTCCTTTTAGTTGCTAATACACTTTTTAAACTTTTAAGTGATAGAAATACTTATTTAAATCTAGGTTGACATATAATGACTTAAAGTCGCTTATTACACTTTTACTAAACTCGAGACTCAAATCAATGTTTACAAATTATTTCAAGCCTATTTAAAATAACTGGCCATTTTTTATCAACAGCCATTAAAAATCTTATCAGAAAACTGATATCAGCAAGTTTGTACTCGAACACAAAATGTTTCGATTACATTTTGCCACTTTAATAAATCGATTAGCTCTTGAATAGATTTTATCATTTCATTGTGAAACAGATGAATCTGCTGTTAATGTCTACTTGTTTAAAGTGTTTTTCTCATTGTATATTATTGATCATTTCAAACTTTAAGAATCAAAACATAACCTGAAATCGTGTACTTGTCAACCATACACAGAGATGTGTTTAGAACTATTTTTCTGTTATAATTTAACCATCAAAAATCATTTGTAAATCCATATGTTGTGATGGACGCTACTTATGTCGATAGACATAAGTAGTATGTAACACCAATCGGAAGTGGAAAACCCGGCAACAGAACGCTATAATGGTCCACTTAAAGAAAACAGAAATAAAATTATAAAAGAATTGTGAATCGGAAGAATCTTACAGAATATGAAGAGCAAATGATGACATTTTGCAAATGAAGTATTCAATGTATGGTTCTTATATTTTGTGTTGAAATATGTTTGGTTGTTTACAAAAATAACAGTCGGGATGCAACGTTGTATGATGCATTAACATCTAACCATCAATTTGTCCTATATCTGCGTCGGCAATTTAATTGCATAATAAATCTCATTCATATAAATACCAATTTCATTTTGCTTTGATAATGCTGGAGTTTCAGCCGAACATCAGCATTACAATAGAAAGCGGAGAAATAAAAACATAACTAAACAAGCTAATAAACTATTTAATAAAAGTAAAATTCATTATTACATTAACGTACCATTTGTCCATATGAATATTTTTCTAGATTTTGTTTACGATTATCTAAACAAACATTGTAATCCAATCGGTTTTGTGGCTGGTGTTGTTGTTGTGATTGCAATATTAGTTTCTCACTTTCATATCCCAAATCATGTGGTATGAAACTTGATTTTATAAGATCTTTAGTTGATAAATCAGATTCAGGATAATTCAAAGATGAAGATGATGGAATTGATGCAACAACTGAAGAATAATACGAATTGGTCATGTGTTTCGTATCTTCTGACATAATGTGCATATTATTTGGCATCAGTATATTACTTACAGGTGGTAGTATTGTATTACTTCTTGAAACATTTTGATTTGGAACATCATTCATTTGTATCAAGCTAAATTCATCACTTCTTATCTTAGCTGACTGAAACATTTGAAGTTGATTATTTTCACTGACAGTACAAATGGGTGATTTTTGCATTAAAGTATCTGTTTCACAAACTGATAATAGTTTTCGTGTAATTAAATGATTTTCTTCTGTACGTGGAAACGAATCATACTGTGTAGGACTATTTAAAGTTGGAGATGTTGTTGAAATAGATTGACAGAATGGTTGAGAGAAAATCATGATTTGAAGTTTTCTAAGAGTTTACTTAACAACTAAAATCTGTTTCACATTAGAAGTGGATTAAATTTTTATTACTACGTTTGTATTTCTTCTCATATTTCTTAGGAATAAGTATAAATATATCAGGAACCCCACTTTTTATATTGAATTTAATGACATTAATGTATTAGTTTAAACGAAGGATTCGGGGCATAGTTTATTAGATTTTATGATGTGGAAACCTACTCCCAATAGACCTTGAAAAATTTGACGTGACTTTATCTATTCTCAAAATTCGTGATCATTCATCTTGGATAAACATTTCTCTTATAAGGTAAACTATTAAGCCTTAGATACATTTTACTAACAAATAAGAGGGTATAATATTTCTATAGGATAGTCAAGAATATTGGGCCTCTAGAAAGTTTTTTTTGTTTACCCATAATGTGTTCTTGTAGACATGCATTCATGCAAAGACAACACATATAGATGTATACAGTAATAGTAAGAATGCTTACTTACTTAAGCACACTAATAAAACATACATACAAATAATTTTTCTACCCCACCCGATAAGTTCTTTTCCTTTCTACTCATCTGACATTTTATTTATCTGCATGCATTGAGTTCACAATATTTATTCTGGGTAAAACGCAACAAAATTTTAGGAAAAATATCAAATATAACCTAGTTGTTTACACATCCTGTATTATTTGTTTAAATACAAATATAAACATTTTAAAGGTTTGAAGAGATTTTAAACGGCTGTTTGAAAAAGGGTACACTCAATTTTGTTGAATAATGAATCAGTATCCATTTAAATCCTGTTACTGAACACAGTTTTCTTTGCAATGTAGAGCACTATGAAGAAATAACTTGGATTACAAACTCTATTCTAAACAATTTTGTACATTTAACTCATATACTACTTAAGTTTTCTGAATTCCTAGGCTTCAGTTAAGGTCAGATTTCCAGTACTGATATTTATATGTGATGTATAAACAAATATTCAACTTTCTTCATCTTATTCATCATAAGATAAATTGGATACCTGATATTAGTAGTAAAACAACTATCCTTTTAAATAAAACTATTTTAAGTTATGAAGACTATTATAGCCTTTGTTGAAAGAATTTCATGTAACATACACGTCATTATAGCTTTATACTGAGTGTATTGGATGAATTTTATGACTGGTATAATCTTCTAGATAACAGTTAGTCATCTTGTAAAATATGATCACGTCAAAATGTAGTATTGTACAACAAAATAACGCGGTTTTTTTAAAAGTAAATCTGAACAATGAAATAATTAATATACTCAATATTTCACTTATATTTTATATTAAAATTTTACAGTGGTATTTGTGCGTGGTGACACATTTACAGGAACTTGTTAGCAGGTAATATCAGGTCTATGTTTTGTCCAAGTTTCAGACTACTGAATTATACACTCACTGCTTAAGACCTAATTCAAGCTAAGACCTAGTGTCACATTTACCAGAATATATTTCAGTCGATCTGCAATCTGACTGCCCACACTTCTCAAAGTTATGTAATTCACTTGACATCTTGACTATCACTTAATATCACTGATAGCTAATCGCATCCAGATCTACGGAAATAGCCGCTAATAGTTTCCTCGATTTAAATGGTTCTATAACTAAAATTAAGACGGAATCGAAACAATTTTCAGAGTTGGTGGAGAAGATTTGTAGCTCAGATGGGTGATTTTGATGTAGGTTTGTTCTCCGAAGTTTTTGCTGATGATGTCGTTCAGAAGGACGATGAAAGCTCCACGACAAAACCATCCAGCTCAGAGAACGAACCTACATCAATATCTTCAGAGTAAATAAGTCCCTACAAACTTCATAACTAACCAGAAATTTGTTTACAGCTCTGATAGTTTTAAATTGATCATTTTACTCACAGAAGTGCACTGAAAACTTAAGTTCTCAAGAAAACAATACTTTGTGATGACAGGTCTACTTTCAAAGAGCTACATTTGGTAAAACTTATACACCCATGTACGATAAACGTTCTCATTGACTTTGAAGTATTAGATTTACGCCCATTTGTTTCTAGTTTTCCTGTATTGTCAAGAAACAAAGTTTGTCACCTCAAAATCTGTTGGGGTAGTTCGTAACTGAGAAGATTTAAGTGTTCTATCTAGCTAATACTTAATGCAATTTGTTCGTTGTTAAAAAAGATAATAGGCAGCTTTTCATATTTTGATCATTTCAGGTCATTTAATAGCTTGAAACCATGTATAGTAAACAAGTTCCCGAACTACGATGATACACAAAGAACAAGAAACACTAATCCTAGAAGTGTAACAGTACATGAATTGGAGAAATAACCTTCATCATCTACCTGAAAAACTAGGTCTAATGAAAAACAATTTTCTTATGCTTTACCAAATAGTTTGTCCGAAAGCAGGTCATTTATTATTATAGAAATTTAGCGTCAATGATGTTCGAGCTGATTAGTTCACTAGTCATTTAGCATACGTAGTCTGTGTCATTTCATCCATAATCAAAACAAAAATTGTTACACTCCTCAATGCTCAATGAATAATTGACATGCTTGATTCACTAAACTTAGTGAATTTTTCACGTCTAAACTAGCTACAAAAAGAAAATAATGTAGCTTCCATTGATAATGTAAACAGAACGTTAATCATATATCATCCAGGTTTCAAATACTGATCATTCACAAAATATTCAAGGATACTCAGTAATTTTCCCAAAGTTCCAAACATATTGAGATGTAAATTTCTTATTTTAATTGGTTGAAGTCGTAGCACATTGTGATAACTTCTAATTGTCAAGAGACAATCCAAAAAGTAGCCTTGCGTTTCGTATGCCAATAAATGAGAATATGAACTTTTATTTTTAAGGACAATCGATGTGACTTGTTTCTTGATTAACAATAATCTGTCTTAGAAGTCCGAAATTGGATCATAGAAGGGAAAATAATTAATTCTATATTTTGAAATGGAGATGTGCTACGAATTACGACAGAATGAAAGTAAATTAAAAAAGCAACATGGAAAGTTGAATCTACAGGCTTAAGAGCCATTCACAATTTATCAGATGGTCGTCGAAATGAGTTTAAAGGCACAATATTAGAAGACATATTAAGTTTCAGATTGCATAACCATCCAAATATCATGCTGGAAATTGAAGTACAGATATTACTCGAAAAACGTTCCGAAATCAAGTCTCAATTGCATCACCCAAAAAAACATCTCGCACTCCAATAATACAAACATTTTTGTATCAAACCCTTCTAAAAAATACTCCCTAGCTCTTCGATCCTTGAAAAGGATATAATAAAAGATGATAAAATGAACAAAACGTCAGTCATGAACACAACATATTATGATGACATGGTTTGGACATCTCCCTATTAAACTAAATGATAGGATTCCATATAACTGGCTCTAAATGTATAAGGACAAAATAAGTCAGAAACAGATCAACTTCTTGAGGATTTATACTCACTTTTAATTGTCTTCATGTGGTCCAAACTATATTAAATTATTAAAAATTTATTGAATATGTTATCCCACTGAGACAGTGAATCTCACAAACATCTCAACTCGTGAGATATCCGAATAACGTACTGAAATACATTTAACAGTGCTTTCAGAGTTAGCATATACGTCAGATATATCATGATATATCACAAATACATTAAACAGAACTCTTCCTCAACACATTAATAAACTTTCTGTTCACAGCAAATTTACTTTTTAAAATAAAAATAAACCATATGAGCTATTAATTTAGACAAGTTAATTAAAACAAATTTAAATGAATCTCTCAATCTGACCCTTTACTTTAAATCAATATATCTATTCGACATTAAGCTATCTCTTACTCAAAAGAGTTCTGAACGTCTTACGAAGTAACAAGGCAAACAAGAGTACAACAGAAGGTGATCAGTTTTTCATTAGTTCATTAATTTAACATGAGCATTGGTGAAAATAAAGTGCAATGACATGTTATTAAATGAAAAATCATAGAGAATGTTGTCGATTAGGACTATAGTGCTATCTTACTATAAAACTACGATAGCATAACAAGAAATAATCGTAAACAACAAAGAATGAAAGCTTTGTATAAAATAATCCACATACTTTTATTACTTTAATTAGAATTAAAAACAAAACAGAACTTTGTTTACAAAGTAGATTTTATTGATTAGAATATATTTTGTCTTATCAAATCTTCTCAGGAATTTCTGACTCAGTGAATACAGTGATCTTGAGTGCTGTTAGAGGTATGAGGGTAGTTATCACTTCCGTGGGTGGAAAGGTTCTTCTAGAGGTATCTGAAATAGAAAGTAGATAAGAATTGGTCTTAATGACCTGAGAGCGTGACCGTAACGCCCAAGAGACAACTGCTTGAGGTCGGTCACATAAGACATTCTTGTGAGTAATTTTCGTGTTAAATCCATACATCTTGAGACCTTACCGCCGGAGATGGAAATCCATGGGATAAGACGAGGTGTGTGTTTTTAGGGTCGAACTTTTCTAATCCCACCCCTCCTTGTGGGAAGGCAGCATCACTGTTATGCAGGTTGTCTGAAGGAAACACCTTACTGCCGTCAAACCTCTATACCGTCAGCAGTACGACTTCGCCTTCGGACCTCGGGTTTGCTGCTTTCCGTCTTACCACTCTTCAACCGACCTGCCTGGCACGGTAGAACTTTGAGGAACGATTGTTCCAGCCAGTATAGCTCGATTGGTTCATCACGATAGGCAAGTCCGAGCACCACGTCAAGGTAGCAGCAACGGTCAGGAATTCCTGGCTGGTACCTCGGAAAATATTCAAACTACACAAATAGATATAATATATCTGCAGAATTTGAAGATCTACTAACCAAATCTGTAACAGTTAATGAATACGATATTTAACAATTATACAATCAGTATTTAAAGATATTCAAATAATTTATAAAAATAAAAAAAACGTTTCTCTAATTTCTTTACTTTATTCTGGAACATAGGAAATC